GGCAGGAAAAGAGGAGGGGACACTTGCTGAATATCATAGCTACTCCCAAACCCATGTGGAGGTGGCAGCTCCCAGGCTGCCCTAGACAAGGCTGCAACTTAAGCTACCTACAATGAGGCAGAGGAAGGCCAGGCCCAGCCTCGCCCAGCCTAGGAAAGCAGTGGCCTGGAAGAGCAGAAGCAGCCTCAGTCCAGGGCCAAGTGAGGACTGGGAAGCCCTGCTTCTGACACCCCCCACCCCCACCCCAGGCAGAGGGGCTCCTGAAAGCTCCAGAAGCTCAGGGTCCAGTGTGGGTCTCAGTTAGGTGAGGTCTGCAACTTACATGATTTGGAAGCTCGACTGACCATCCCCATTTTGTGCTGTTCCTGGGGCTTGAATTCAGGACCGGCGTGTTGTCCCTGGGTTTGTTTTCCCTCAAGGCTGGTGCTCTACCACTTGAGCCACCGCTCCACTTTCAGATTTTTTAGTGGCTAATTGGAGATAAGAGTCTTTTAGACTTTCTTGCCTAAGCTGACTTTGAACCTCAATCCTCAGACCTCAGCCTCCAGAGTAGCTAGGATTGCAGGTGTGAGCTACTGGTGCCGGGTGAATGCGCTCTCTCTCTCTCTTTCTCTCTTCTTAATGACCTTCTCCCACTCTCCTTGTAGTACTGGAGAATGAACTCAGGGCTGTGAGCATGCCTGGGCAAGAGCTTTACCCCCCACCTTTTAGTTTAGTTTTTTTTTTTTTTTTTGGTCTGTCATAGGGCTTGAATTCTGGGCCTGAGTACTATCCCTGAGCTCTTCAGCTCAAGGCAAGTGCTCTATCAGGTGAGCCACAGTACCACTTCCAGTTTTCTGGTGATTAATTGTAGCTAATAGTCTCATGGACTTTCCTACCCAGGCTGGCTTTGAACCACAATCCTCAGATCTCAGCCTCCTGAGTAGCTAGGAATACAGGTGTGAGCCACCGTGCCTGGCTCTTTTTTAACTTTTGAGACAGGCTAGCTTCCAATTTGAGATCCTCCAACCTCAACTTCCCAAATGCCAGGCTTACAGGCATGTGTCATCACACCTGACATCTGGATCTTTCTGGCATAAATTTTACAAACCCGCAAGTGGGCATGCACATGTTGGTGGAGCCCTCCAGGGGGGTGGTGAGGCACAGGTAATATAGGAATCCTAAATACCAACCCTCCCACTTTGCCATGGGCTGAGGGCTAATGCCAAGCAAGTTCCAGCAACCAGGAGGATCTGGTCACCTGAGACCTGGAGACCAGGAACCATTTGTTCTAGCAGACCTGCAGTATGCAAAGGGAGTGGTGTGCAAAGGGCCATGGTGTGCAAAGGGCCATGGGCAGGAAGGCAGCAGCACCCATCACCCCCCCTCCCTAACCTGATAAGATGCTTCAGCATACACACATTTCCCCAAAAGACTAAATATAGCACCGGAGTCTTCAACTTCCATTTCTTGCATAAGAAGCAAGAAACGTTTCTCTCCTTTTCTATTTCTCTCTACATTAGCCTTATGAAACTAAAATAAATCCTTGCTAAAACTTAAAAAAAGAGAGAGTACAAGGGCTGGGAAGGTGGCTCAGTGGTAGAGCGCTTGCCTCACATGCATGAAGCCCTGGGTTTGATTCCTCAGCACCACATAAACAGAAAAAGCTGGAAGTGGCGCTGTAGTTCAAGTGGTAGAGAGCTAGCCTTGAGCTAAAGAGCTGAGGGACAGTGCCCAGGCCTAGAGTTCAGGCCCCACGACCAACAAAAAAATAAATAAAAATAAAAATAGCCAGTGTCTATGGCTTACGCCTGTAATCCTAGCTACTGAGGAGGCTGAGATTTGAGGATCAAGGTTCAAAGCCAACTTGTGCAGGAAAGTCTGTGAGACTCTTATCTCCAATTAACCACTCAGAAAACCAGAAGTGGTGCTGTGGCTCGAGTGGTAGAATGCTAGCTAGCCTTGAGCTGAAAAGCTGAGGGACAGATCCCAGGCCCAGAGTTCAAGCCCCACGACCAACAAAAAAAAAATAAAAAATAGAGAACAATGGTTGAGGATTTAGTTCAGTGGAAGAACACTTGCCTGGCAAGTGCAAGGCCTTAAGTCTGGTCCTCAGCTCTGGAAAAGAGAGACAGGGGAGGAAAGGAGAGAGAACAAACATAGCACTATACGAACTGCCCCAAGGACAGTGTTTCCCCTCCTCCAGTTTTCTGCTATGGTATAATTCATATGACATTATGGTCTTTTTGCAGTGAGAGATCGAACTCAAGACAAGGGCTCTACCCTAGAGTTACATCCTCAACCCCATCCTCCTACTGTACATCCAGTGGTATTATCTGTTCATGGGTTTTTGGGGTTTTTTTTTTAGGGGGGTATGTGTGTGTACCAGTCTTAGGCTCTGAACTCAGGGCCTGGGTGCTGACCCTGAGTTTGTTTTTTGTCAGTCATGGGACTTGAACTCTGGGCCTACACGCTGTCCCTCAGCTCTTCCGCTCAAGGCTAGCGTTCTACCACTTGAGCCACAGAGCCACTTCTGGCTTTTTTTTTCTGTTTATGTGGTGCTAAGGAACTGAACCCAGGGCCTCATGCATGCAAGGCAAGCACTCTAGCACTTGAGCCATAGCTTGGCTTTTTGGGGCAGTTAACTGGAGTGAGCATTTCAGCAACTTTCCTGCTTGGGCTGGCTCTGAACTTGTGATCCTCGAATCTCAGCTGCTGAGTAGCTAGGATTACAGAGCCATTGGTGCCTAGCATTCATATTTTTTGTCCAACCCTCATGCATGATTTGCATATTTTCCAATAATCAGCAGGGATTTTTTTTTATATTTTTACTTTTCCCCCTTCTTTGTGGCAGTACTAAGGCTTGAACTCAGGACTTTGTGCTCTTAACTAGGTTTTTTCCTTCACAGTTGGTACTTGACCAATTAAGCCATGCCTCTAGTCCAGCACTTTACTTGTTAACTGGAGATAAAGTCTTGAGGACTTTTCTGCCTGGGCTGGCTTCAAACTTTGATCCTGATATCTCAGCCCCCTGAATAGCTAGGATTGCAAGTGTGGAGACATTCGCTCTTTGCAAGCTTACTTATTATCTACTCTGTAAAAGTCTCAGTGTGCTGTATCAGATGCTCATGGGGGGGGGGGGCACGCCCCTTTTGAACTGGCCTGGGAGGTGGTTTGATTCCCACACTGGTCAGGTGTGGCCCAGATGATCTTCAAGTGCCAGGACTCCACCCCAGACTATGACAGGAAGTCTTGGGTGCCTGTGCTCACCCTGTCCTGCGCTTTTAGGTCTCTCAGGGCCCTGTCCACTCGGGGAGCCAACTAGGGAACCGTACACAGTGGTGTTCAATGTGTGCTTGTTTTTCTTCATACCCATCCATATGACATCCTCCACATCCCAATGTGGGCAAGGATAAGCTCTCCCCATGCTGCAGAGCCCGAGGTGACCTCACCTTCTCCACGAAGCTCCTGTATTCCACAGCAGAGACCCTCTCCTGGCTCCCTCATGGTTTCTGCCTGGGGCACCTGGCTGCCTCCCCAGTGGGACTGTGGGTTCTGGGGCACCAGGCAGCCAGGGCCTGAGTCATGCCACCTTCCCTCAGGGCCTGGCAGACTCGATAAAGCGATGCTAAATGAAGCCATCACAAGCAGAAATGACCCAAGTACAACAACTGCCCGCCCACGCCCCCACACAAAGCCTGCCTGTCAGAGTCCTGGGGAGGAGGAGGGCAGCACAGAGCTGGCCCACCCTACCTGGCAGGGTGACCAGGAAGGGGGGGGGGCTGGCTCCCACCTTTGCCTAAGGTCTGCCCCTGCTTCTGGTTGTTGGGGACTGTCACCAATGCATGGATTCGGTGCCAGAAACCCTTGTGGACATGCTGAGGACATGCCAAGACACGAAGACCAATGGCACAGGGGCTTCAAGGGGCCCCCTAAAGGGACCAAATGGTCACCCTTCCTGCTGCCAGGACAAATCTACAAGCTGTCCAACCCATCAGACCCTAAAACAGCCCTGGAATGCTGAAGAGCCAGGCACTTCAGCCTGCCTAGCTCACAGTTGGCTTCTGCCAGCCCCCAATGGGTCCTGTCAGTGTCCCTGCCCAGTGTCCCTGATTCTCATCCTTCTGGTCTGGCAGCACCAGTGAAGGGCCCCAGACCTACAGAGACAAGACTGTCCACAAGGGAGGGTTTTTCAATCATGACCAGCTAACCAGGAAGCCCCAGGCACCCCCCCCCCCCACTCCACAGAGCCCAGCAGGCCTCTTTCCTACAACAGCTCTGCCCTGTCTTCAACCCCACTCAGACCTGGGGTATCTGCCCCTGCCCCCTGTCTATCCCTCCCCCCCTACAAGGATGCAGGTGCAGAACAAGTCTCTCATGGGTGGAGGGGACCTTCCTTCCAAAACACCTGGCCCTGTAGACATCCAGGTGAGGACTGGGGGGGGGGGGGGGAGGACGCTGGCGGGGGAGGTGCAATGTTATGGATCCAGGAAATGTCACCGCCCAAGGGTCCCCCAGGAAGCTCCTCCCACCCTTTCTATAAACCGGGAAACTGAGGCACGACATTAGAGGTGGCCCCTCCCGGCTCGGAACCAAATCCCTCGTTTCGGCGAGCGTTTCTAGGTGGTTCCCTGCCCAAGGTCACGCGGCGAAGACGCGGCTGTTGGGGGGGGGGCTGGTATCCGGCGGGGGCCCCGGGGCTCCAGCCCCGCGGAGCTGGGCAGCAGCAGCCCCGGCCCCCTCCTCTGCCACGGGCACGACGCGCACCCCAGCGGGCGACCCACACCCTACCACCGCCCCCCCCAATCGCGCCTCGGACCCGGGCACCGTCCACGGTCGCGCGCGACTCAAGCCTCCAGCTGCAGAGCGGCGGCGGCCCGGAGGTCAGGGCGCGGGCGCGCGGGGAAACCGAGGCTCGGGGACGCCCGCGGCCCGCGCCCGGCCAGCAGGGAGCCCCGCGGCTCCCGCGGCACGCCGTCCTCGCCCCCCGGCCCCGCCACGGACCCCCAGCCCGTCCTTACCCAGGACACGACGCGCAGGATGGTGTGCGGCTGCCGGACCAGCGTGTGGGGGTCGAAAGCGCCCCCGGCTTTGCCCGCTCCGTACGCACCCCCTTCCATCGTGGCTGCCCCGCGCAGCGCCCCCCGCTCGGCGCGCGCCGCCGGCTCCTGCGCGTGCGCGGCGCCCCCGCCCCCTCCCCTCCCCTGCGCGCCGCCGGCCCCCTGCGCGTGCGCAGCGCCCCGCCCCCGCCCCTGCGCGCCGCCGGCCTGGAACGCGGCTCCGCCAGGGGGCGCTCTGAGTGACGGGCGCCGCTCGGCGGGGCGGGGCGGGGGCGCTGCGCTCGGGTTCGCGGGGGCGCGCGTGCTGCGGGGCTCAGGCGGAGGGCGCGCGCGCGCGGCGGCGGCGGCGCAGTGACCTCTTTGCAAAGCGTGGACCCGAGAGAGGCGGGGTGAGCGTGAGCGCAGGCGGGCCCCGCCCCCGGGCGCCCCCAGCCGTCGCTGCGCCCGAAACCCTCCTCCTCCTCCTCCTCTCTTTAACTGTGAACCGTGTCTGCCCCATATCCGAAAGGGAGCGGGGGCTGCGTCCGTGCTGGTCTCCGGGAACGAGGCGCCCAGCAGGTGCCTTTACCGGATGAGTGCACGGACCCAGAGCTGCCCCCCCCCCGGGCCCCCACCCCCGGGCCCCCCCGCCCGCCCCTCCGATGACGTCACCCACCCCACCCCACCTGGCTCAGCGGTGGAGGCTGGCTCCCGCATCCACCCGTCCCGCACGCCGCAATTAACTATGTCACCGTTTATTTCCTTCTCGTCTGCAGGTGCCCGGGATTCGTCCGCCCTGTTCCCCGCTGTATCCCCGGGTCTCTCCTACGGTGGGTGCTCGTCACCCCAACGCAGCTTGACCTGCAGCCCCAGGTTTTAGAGAAACGGAGGCTGGGTGGAGCAGGGACAGCCACCTCCCAGGTCAGCCTTGTAACAGGGACTTACAAGCTGCTTTCTCTGGAAACCACTGACCTCCCCACTGGGGTGACTAAGAGCCAGAGAAAGCCTTCGTGTCCCAGCCTCCGTTGTAGCTGTGTCCTTTGCTCCGAGCCAAGCTCTTCTGCAGTCTCTTCCTGGTCACCTTGGGATCCAGGAAGGACGGGACTGATGGATAAATAGCCTGTGACAGGTGTGGAAACCAGCCCATGGACTGGACTTTCTCATCCAACAAGGCCCCAGCTGACCGATCCCGAGAACAAGCAACTTGCCCTGCTCTGACCACTTCTGTCCACACCTGTGACTCGGACTGTCTAATAATTGTGCACACCTCTCTCTCTCCGCCCCAAATCTTCCTGTGTTTAAGCCTAGGGCATGCCAGACACTGGTGGCTCACACCTGTAATCCTAGCCTCTCAGGAGGCAGAGGTCTGAAGCCAGCCTGGGCAGGAAAGTCCGTGAGACTTTGGTCTCCAATTAACCAGAAAACACTGGAAGTGAAGACGTGGCTCAAGTGGTAGAGCCTGCACAAGATAATATAATAATAACAACAATAATAATTAGCCAGTCCTGTCCCTCCAGCACTAAGATTCTATCATACTAATTAATAAATACCCAGTAAGAGTGGTGTTGAGGAGTCTGAGTTTCAGTATTGGTGAGAGTCCTGACACCCCACTCACTGCACACTCTGTGATCGTGGAAAAATGGCTTCACCTCTCCGAGCTTATTTCTTCATGTGAAAAAAATGGAAATAAACACAGAACCCAAGTCTGAGGATTATCATGAGAATGAAATGAGATGATACACAGGCCTCTTCTAGAAGCAAGAACCTTTGAATGGTAGGGTTTACCCATAGTCTCTCCTTTATACCACATTGCTCTCATAGAAACATTGCCTGCCTGTCTGTATTTGTGTCTTCTTGTGTTAGTGATGAGACCAGATTTGAAAGTCAGTCTAGGTTTCACAGGTCAGGCTTTTGCAAACCCAGGGCTGCTTGGATCAGGTCTTGTTTCCCCACCCAGAGCCTGTGCTGGCTCTCTCCTGCCCCCTGGAGGCGGCTTGGACCACAACGCTGTTAGCTCTGTTTGTTGAGCAAAGGGGAGACAAATTCAGAGGATCTGAGTGGAGGAACCTGATAAAATTACAGTGTGTGTGTGTCCTGAGACACAAACTCAGGGCCTGAGCACCGCTGTCCCTGACCTTTTATGCTCAGGGCTAACACTCTACCACTTGAGCCACAGCTCCACTTCAAGCTTTTTGCTAGTTAATGGGAGTCTCTCAGATTTGTTTGTCTGGGCTGGCTTCAAACCATGATCCTCAAATCTCAGCCTCTGGAGTAGCTAGAATTACAAGTGTGTGCCACTGGCACCTGATTTGTAATGTCATCAGTGTTTTGGTTGGCTTGAGTCTGTGTTAATTGATTAGCTTTCCCACCCCTCTCCCCCTTCTTCCTCTGGCCCTTCTCATACACTATAAAACATCTGAGAACTGAAGTGGTAATGCACAGTAGTGGTAGTAGCTCAGTACTCAGCACCCCCAAGGCCCTGGGTTCAAGCCCCACTCCCACTACATTAGGAAATCACAAGAATTTTTCTCATATCAGACCCAATAATACCATTTTCCCCTCAAGGAAGGAGTGAAGATCTGAAGTTAGCACATGTGTCCACACGTTCTTCTTATCTGTATATGAAGACTTCTGAGAGTTGACAATAACACAGTGCACAGTCTCTATCCTGAAACCTCTCATAATCCACAGGAAATCAATAAGCAAGGGCACCACTGAACCATGGCTGTAGATTCTTGGAAAATCCTGACATGGAGAGGAGGAGGGTGTCTGTTCATTTTTTTCTTAACTGTATTTTTTTGTCTTTTCTTTTTTGGTAGTGGGAATCGAACCCAGGACATTGCACTTGACAGGCAAGTGCTTTGCCACTGAGTTATATCCCAGACCAAGAGAAGGGAGGTCCTTGTTTCCTCCCCTTGAACCAAGGAGTGCTTGCAAGTGATTGGTTGATTAATAGATCCATGTCAGCTTTTAGTTAGGTGCTTATGGCTCACTCATGTAATCCTAACTACTCAGGAGGCTGAGATATGAGGATTGAGATTCAAAAGCAGTCTGGGTAGAAAAGTCTGAGATTAGCCGGGTGCTGGTGGCTCACGCCTGTAATCCTAGCTACTCAGGAGGCTGAGATCTGAGAATCGAGGTTCAAAGCCAGCCCGGGCAGGAGAGACCGTGAGACTCCTATCTCCAATAAACCACCACAAAACCGGAAGTGGCGCTGTAGCTCAAGTGGTAGAGCGCTCGCCTTGAGCTGAAGAGCTGAGGGACAGCGCCCAGGCCCAGAGTTCAAGCCCCACGACCGACAAAAAAAAAAAAAAAGAAAAGTCTGAGATTCTATCTCCTATTAATCAGAAATATGCCAGGTTGGCATAGTAGCTCAAGTAGTCAAACAGCAGCCTAAAGCAAGCAAGCTGAGAGAAAGTATAAGACCCTGAGTTCAAGCCATTATACCATCACACATACACACACACGTCAACTTTTACTTTCCAGTTTTTGGAACACTCTCAAGTTTGAGCTGTTGAGAAATAATTCTTGAGCCAGATGCCTATGGCTCATGCCTGTAATCCTAGCTATTCAGGAGGCTGAGATTAAGGATCACCAGTCTGGGTAAGAAAGGCTATAAGACTCTCCCATAACCAGCAAAGAGCAGGATATGTAGCTGTGGCTTAATCAGATGAGTACTAGACTTGAGCAAAGAAGCTAAGGAACAGCGTACAGGCCCACTGTCACACACGTGTATGCATACACACACTCACACTATATACACACACATATATATACATATACATATATCTATGTCTATATATCTATATCTATATCTGTATATATATTTATATCTATATATCTATATCTATATGTTGGAGGAAAGGGAGTAAACCAGAAGGGCAGAGAGCAAGGAACCTGGCTCTCTTGGGTCTCTCCTCAGAAAGAGCTGGGCTGGGGGCAGCCACCTTCCTTCTGGTTCTGAGCCTAACTTCATCCTCTTTTTGCCTCATCTGGAAAATTCCAAGCTGGAACTCTTAGTTTGACTTGGAGGTGGCTCGGTGGCTCCCTCAGGCACCAAGAAGACAACACATCTCCCCAGGAATGCGCTCTACAAGCCAAACCCCAGAATTCCTGCAGACAAATAAGAACAAATAAGAACTCAAAATCCAAAGTACTGGGCATGTAGCTCAGTGGTCAAATGCTTACCTAACACGTGTGAGGCCCTGGGTTTGGTCCCAAGCACTGCAACAAACAAACACACCCCAGCATTAGGCCCCATGGCAGAGATCAGGAGGATTGATGTGCCAGGCCAACAAATAAGATGGGCATGCTGGTGCTTGTCTGCAATACCAACTTAAAGGAGGCACACATAGGAGAATCTCAGTCCTGGACAAACATTTGAGAACCTATCTGAAAAATAGCACCTGCTTAGTAACCACAAAGTCCTGAGTTCAAACCCTAGCACTGTCCCAAAACAATAAATAGGAAAGGATGACATTGTCCAAAAAAAAATATACTCAGAGCTGGGCACTGGTGGCTCATGCCTGTAATCCTAGCTACTCAGGAGGCTGAGATCTGAGGATCGCGGTTCAAAGCCAGCCCGGGCAGGAGAGACCGTGAGACTCCTATCTCCAATAAACCACCAGAAAACCAGAAGTGGCGCTGTAGCTCAAGTGGTAGAGCGCTCGCCTTGAGCTGAAGAGCTGAGGGACAGCGCCCAGGCCCAGAGTTCAAGCCCCACGGCTGACAAAAAAAAGTCCATAAGACTCTTATCTTCAATAAACTATCAGAAAACGGGAAGTGGCACTTTGACTCTGGTGGTAGCACGCTCACCTTGAGCTGTAGAGTTCAGGGACAGGGCTCAGGCCTAGAGTTCAAGCCCCATGACTAGCAAAAGAAAAAACAGAAAACAGAAAAAAAAATATGGCTCATCTAGCTTTGTGGCAGTGGGTCATCCTGTAATCCAAGGCTGACATCCAGAGGATGGCAGTTTGAGGCCAGCCTTGGTAGAAAAATACTCAAAATTCTATCTCCAAAATACCAGCAAAAATGGGGCTGGAGGTGTGGTTCAAGTGGTAGAGCACCAGCTAAGCAGCAAACCTACCAAATGCAAGGCCCTGAGTTCATACTCTGGTACCACAAAAAAAAAAAAAAAAGAATAAAT